TTAAAATGAATATCTATAAATTGCATTAATTATATTAATGGATAAAATGTAATATACATTGTATGTTGTTTTGTTTTGAAATTCTGGTCTCACTATGACTAGTCTGGCTTTGGTTCCAAATCCAGCTGGCCTAGAACTCATTATATAGACCAGCATATGTCTCATGGAGATATATCTACCTGCTTCTGCTCCCTGAGTATTGGAATTAAAGGTGTGCACCATTATAGCCAGCTACATTGTATAATTTCTAAATCAAGTTAAATATATGATCTCCTTAGATATTTATTATTTCTGTTTTAAAATACCTTTATATATATGGGTGTTTTGCCTGCATGTATCTGTATGCGACCTACACAGAAGTCAAAATAGGGCATTGGATTCCCAGTAACTAGAGTTCTAGATAGCTGTGAACCTCCATGTGGATTCTGATAATTAAAGCCAGGGTCTCTGGAGGAGTAACCAGTGATAACTGCTGATCCATCTCCCCATTGCCCTATTTATCAGTTTTTTTTATGGTGACAATATTTGAAATCTTTACTTTTTGAAATACACAGTAAATAATTATCTATTGTCACTCTATAATATAGTAGCCAGTATCTCTGACTTTTACCTTACTGTGACTTAGTGTCCTTTGAGCAAACTTTCCTAAACCCTCTTCACTCACTGTCCCCAGGCTCTGATAACCACCATTCTCCTCTCAGCTTTTGTGAGAACAGATTTTGTGGATTCAACATACAAGTAAGATCACATAGGTACTTTGTCTTTCTGTACCTGGCTTGTTTATTTAGCCTAGTGATATCCAGTCCCTGCTTTGTGATCACAAATAACAGATTTATCTCTTTTTATGACTGATTAGTATTCCATTGTGCCTGTGGCCTACATTTTTTATTCACACATCTGTTGGAAATCTCTCAGTAGTATAGACATTTAAACATTTTTATTCTTGTAACCTAAGAAAGCTAGAGGTCTTTAATTTTTTCATCAATGTTTTAGAGTTTTCATTATAGAGCTTTTTCGCTTCTTTGATTAACTTTACTTCTAGGTATGGTATGATATTTTATTGTATTACATTGCATTATATTGTTTAATAGTATCCTAGCTAGAATTTTTCTTCCTATGATAAAAACACATGACCAAAATCAACTTGGGGAGGAAAGGTTTTTTTTCAGCTTACACAGCCAGGTCACACTCCCTTACAGAGGGAAGTCAGGGAAGGTACTCAAGGCAGGAACCCAGAAGCAGGAGTTGAAGCAGAGGCCATGGAGGAGACTGTTACTGATTTGTTCCCTCATGGCATACTTAGCCTTCTTTCTTATACAACTCAGTACTACCTGCCTGGGGTGGCATCTTCCACAATGGGCTGGGCCATCCTACATTAATTATTAAGAAAATGGCCAACAGGCTTTGCCTTCAGGCCAATCTTGTGAAAAACCTTCTCTAATATGAGGTTCGTTCCTTCTGAAAAAAAAAAAAAAAAAAAAAAAAAAAAAAAAAAAAAAAAAAAGCTAGCCAGTATACATAATCACCATAGGTGAGATAGCTTTCTTCATCTCCATTGAGCATAACTCACTATTGGTACCTATAGCAATATTAATTTACATATATTGTTTGTCTTGGGGGTTTGTTTTTTTGGTTTGGTTTAGGAAGCGAGCCATCCAGGCTGCAAGAGAGCCAGAGACCGGTGAGCACCCAATGAAGCCCCATGTTCCCTAGACCAACTCCTTCCAGTCTTGTGGGGGGAAAAGCTGCTGCAGCACATCACACATCACTTAAAGTGGTTTGTTTTGGCTACTAGTAAAGCTTATTAAATCACTGACTGCTTTAGAAATTAAGGTAAAATCATTTGTAGGTAGAATTTAGTTGTACTCTGCTCAAAGAGCCATGATGGGTCTGAAATAACCTTCATTTGGAAAAATAGCAAATATTAATGAATGCCTAGGGTCACTTAACATAGTCAGTGTGGGTTAGGTTAAGTTTAATTTGAATGCATTTGCTGTGGATTTTAGTGTTTTAATTGAGGCAGAAAGCCGAATTATTAGGGACATTCTTTCCTCCCTTGCACTCTATCTCACCCTTTCTTTGTGGTAAGATGCAAATGAACAGTAGGCTAGCCAGGGAGCCTGTCAGGCAGGTATTTCTGTCCATCTGGTTTTCTTTTCTCACTAATGCCATGGGCTTGTTTTTTTTTTTATGTTTGCTGAGGTTTTAGATTTGCTCAGCAGTGGTTTTAGATTTGCTTAGCAGTTGCTAGCAAAGATAAGAAAGATAATGAGCTGAATGGCTGGAATTCAACACAAGAATAATGGTTTTCTTTATTTTCGCATAATTTTAAGGAGAACTAAGGTTTTTCTTCCCTTTGTTCTTGTACTTTTCCACTCAGCGTCAGTGGACTAATTGAAATTACTAGTTCTCTAGGAAGCTCTCTTGTTTCTTCCTAGTGTTTCCTCATTCACATTGTTTTGTAGCTTTTGTTCTGGACTTGCAGCACTTGAGATTTTTGATGTTCACTAAGTATAGATAGAAATAATGGGTTTTAATGTTTAGCAAGAATTCATCATTTTACCTCTGTTTTTCTATATCAGCCCTGTGGAGTTTTGTGGTTTGGGAGATTCCTTATCATTAAGTCCCGAACACCTAATGCGTGTTTATGCCCTGTTGAAACCAGGTGTGAGGGTCACTAAGCAGGAGCAGCAGTTTTCTTCAGGGCATTGCATGTGCACATGAACACGCAAACCTCTGCTCTCTGGGCTGTATTCCTGCCTGGGTTATTTTGTTCTCCTTTCCATTTGACCTGATTTAATGGCCGTCATGTGCAGCAGGTAGACCCTGACACAGGGAAGAGTCTTTGCAGCCACTCTCATGAGGTGAGAGAACTTTCTTCTCAGTTGGGATCATTTTTAATATATTTGCTTCTTGGTGAATAACAAAGTTCTGTTTTCACAATACGACTCTTGCTGCATTGTGTTTGGAGAGAACACAGACGATAAAAAGGTCATCAGAGTCAGGTTTTTCCTACTTTTCATTTTGGCTGTTCCTGTTTCTGAATGTGTCTTTTCAGAATAGATGCTCTTGGAAGGCCAGGTTATTCAACTCAAACTTATTTAGTGGGAAACAAGTGTGGTTTTGTTTAAAAAGCATAGTTTTAGAACTATGACTTGGGGGGATAACAGTCCTTAGAACAAATGATCCTCCTCAGTGCACCATCTTCAAACCATTCCAGATTCAAATCTGTACTATGTATATATGCATGGAGAAATATCTTTACATACATTTGGGGGAGTATGAAAGTAGAAAGGACTATGAGAAAGGGAGATTTTAAGGGAGAGAGAAGGATAGAGAAAAAGGATGATAATGAAATATGAAAGCAAACAGTGGGAAAAAAGAGACCAGCAAAGGCCTGGCAGGGGCGGTGTGGTTGGTAGTGGGGGAGGGGCATAATTAAAAATAAAGCATAATGGCATATGTATTGAAAACCATAATGAAAATCTTTGTTTTTTTTGTGTTAATTAAAAAAAGTTTGGTGATTAAATTTAGTGATTTAAAATTATTAAAACGTTTGGAAAAAATTCAGATTATCTATTTTAGTTACTCTGGCTCTAAGCAGAAAGTCTCTGAACGCATCAAAATTGCTTTTTCATTGAATCCCCTTTTCAAGGTACAGAGACTTGATATTAGAAAACCTCAAGTTAGCTACAGAGTAGACTGCATTAATTGAAACCCATAGAAACTCTGGGGACTTTCTTAAAACCTAGATTTCATGTTACCCCTAGTTTTTTACTCTGTAGAGATTAAAAGGGCATTTGCTCTTTGAAATTCCCCTCTTAGCCCATTAAGTGCAAGAAAACAAGACACATTGCTTTTGCTTTTCCTTACTGGGGAAACTACTTACTGTTCTAGTCTGTCCCTCTCAATTTACATGACCAAGAGGAAACTGAAACCTAGCGAGGTTTAAATCACTCGCCCTGGGATAGACAGCTAGCAGTTTCCTGTTTGAACTGGGGACTTCTGTTTGCCAGAAGTGCCTTGGTTTTGCTGCCTGTGGATACACAGCGTCTCTAAGCAGTGGTGTCCTCAGCACTTGCCATAGTCTTTGGTCACAGGTAATTCTCTACCCACACTGCCATTTCTCCCAGTCAGTGGCATGCTTTGAGGTTCAGATTTTCAGAAACCCAGGGAGATGATCTAGTGGATTTCAGTCCCCCAGTGGGCAGGTGGATGGGTGACAAGACGGATGTTTTGTGAAAGTAAAAGGCTGAACAAAAGCTGCTGAGGTTGGGGTGGGGGTGTTAGCAGAACTCTCTAGAGACAGTAGAAAATGAATTGGAAAAGAGGAAAAAAATCAATATAGGAACAAGTTTTTTCTAACAGTTCTTGAAGAGCATGCTTTTTGTTTATATAAAGAAAACAGTAGTTTTCTCCCAAGACCCAGAATGTATATTTTAAGAAATATTTAAAATGGCAATAATAATAATAAAGAAAAAAGAGGATGGAGAGAAAGAGGTTAGAAATTCTAGTTAGTTGTTGCTCAAGAAAATCTAAGCACTAGGTGGACATGGAGACAGTTTTTATTTAGAAAGAAAATGTGGCTGTTAGATTCTTTAAGGAATTAAGTCAAGAAGTTATAGAATTGTTTGTCTGAGAAAACCACTTTGGTTGTTTTTCTAAACCTATTTTTGCATGCATTTTGATATCTTAGATCTTATTAATTTAATACGTAGCCCCTTTAAGGTGCGGTGTTCTGTTGTTTTCCCATGTGCTTTTTTTTTCCTTGGGATTGAAGTGTTCTTAACCAAAAAAGATAACCTATTGTTTCTCTAAATGCGCTCTCCCTAAACACAGAAGGGACCGCTCAAATGAGCTTAGTTAGAATTGCTGTTTGCCCCTGGGCGGTTGCCAGCAGGAAGAAAGGCATGATGGGAAGTAGTTTGGTTACCTTTCACAACAGGTGTCTTTGTCAGCGCACCTATTCAGATATCTGAGTGTGGAAGCACTGAGTCACCGCAGAAAGGAAAGTACGAAAGCAATTGCTCGGGCTTTCACATCTAGAGAGCCACGCTGCAAGGTAAAGCTCAAGTCTTCTGGCGCTCATGAATATGTGAAGAGGTTCACAGTATCTTTAAAAATACTACTGAACAGATAAAAAGAAATTTAAAAGGTATGAACAGCCCAGATAATTTATGATGCCTTGATTATCCTGATTATCACTTAAGTTTTACTTGGCTAGTTATTTTTAAGATAAATGTACTGGGAAATTCTTAATGGAAATAATGTTCTAAATACAAAGCTGCATTATGGGGGGAGGGGGGAGGAAATGAAGTAAAAATGCTTTACTGGCTCCCCTAAGGGTCAAACACTGCTTGAAGCTGTTTTAATCATGAGAGTTTATTTAAGATATTGCATTTTCTGTTCAAGTAAGCCTATTAGACTTGGTCATTTCCTAGCCAGGGAAGTTTGCCTTTCTGTGAGCAAGTGCTTTTAATAATGAATGCTTAACAGAAGTTGCAGAACTTCCATAGTCATATTTAAATGACACAAGATAACAGTAATCATGCTAATCTATAGAAGATGAAAATTCTTTAGGGAAAATACACTACATCTTGTTCTGAGTATTGTTTACCCAATTTTCACAAGCCAGTGAGTTTAAAAAACATAATCCTGGTATTGGTAGTGAAGGGCTAACGACTCGAACACAGCAGTATTTCTTTTTGTTTTAAATAGACTAACAAAAAGCTTCTCAGTGCTGTAGTACTGTTAACACTCGGCAGATACAGGAATCAGGTAACGGGCTTTTGGAGGAACTGTACTGTCTTCTGTCTTCATTGCTCAGTACTGTACTGGCTTATATAACTTGGGGGTTTAGGGAAATTTTCTTCTTGACACATAAAGCCTGTTTGCCATCTCCAGCTGTTCTCCAAAAACCACTTGTGGTAACTAAGGAATGGATAGTTTGTGACTATTAGCTTGTTTGAGTAATTAAAAGAAACCTCTAAACTTAAAAGGAAGAATATTTATTAAGGCGAGAAAAACAGTTTATATATGAGACTCTTGTGTTTCTTCCAGAATCACATCAGATATTTGTGTTATTTTAGTGGGAGAAAGGAAAATTATTATCAACTAGTATTGTTGTCCCAAATGAATTGTTCCCTTTTTTTATATTTTGATTCCCCCCCCTTTTTTTTTAACAGAAATCCTCTGGGGAAAGAATTCTTTATTCCCACTTCAGACTTCAGGAGATAAATTTAACAGCCCTAAGAGTTCTATAAATTCTTAGAAATGATAATAGATTGCCATCTTTTTATTTTCTAAGAATAAGAAAAAATAAGCATTGATTGCTTTAAGAAAAATCTACTTTTCTCCCACAAGGAATCTTCATATAGATACCAATGAAGGAAGAAGATGAACTATTTGAAAATGTTTTAATTACCAAGGAGATAACATAAATTAACTTTTGTTTGGGGTGTTTCATATAGGATATTTCTAGTCAGGAAACTTCCTTTTATTTCTGTTTTTTGAAGTTTAAACATTTCCCAAACCTGGATTTCTCCCTGTGCTGTGCTGAGAATGCAGAAGGTGTTTATGGCGTACACTTCCTGCATAGATAAGAGACCACTGCCAGTTTTTCACTAAGGGTGAATTGCTAGGCAAGCCTTCAAGAGCAGCTGGCTTTTCTTTTTTTTCCTCCTCTCTTTTTCTCTCTGGATTTTGACACTCAGCCCCTGGATCCCAGGTGGGCGTGTATACTGTCTGAGCTGCCCTAGGAGTTTTCCCCTGGATAGTCTGATCTGGAGCTGGGGAAGGAAGAGCAGCTGGCAAGATGATGGAAGAAATCTCCATTATGGTAGCCTATGACGCCCATGTTTTCAGCCAGCTGCATGATGAAGACTTCCTCACTAGCCTGGTGGCCATCAGCAAGCCCAGGTCCATGGTAGGTGTCTCCTTGCATACTACACTGTGGCTCCTCTTTTTCGAACACTATGGAGAGAGAGTTAGGTTCCTGTGAAGTGAAGAGAAGCACTGCTGTTGACTTTGTGTTACAGGCTACAGCAAGGTCTGCCGGTTTTCAGTGGTTTTGTTGTATTATTATATGTCTATAGTATGTTTTAAATACTACTGTAGTGAGGTTGAGAAGAATTTTTTAATTTCAAATACCATTTTTCTTTGTGTCTTGTGTTAGATGAAACTAGCTACAGTTTCATATATTCCATTCAGTCACACTAAAGTAGAACATTTCTTTTAATGAGCCATAACATCTCTGTAAATTGAGCTATCTAGAAATTAAAAAGCTTTCAGGTCTTACATTATCCCCAAGAAAACTATGTTCTTATGTTTGCTGTCATCTTTTTGCTGGCCAGTGAGGCTCACAGAGTGATCTGTGTCTCTTAAGCAAACTCTCTTAACTGTGCCTGTGCCCCTATGTGGTGTTTAGCGATGCATTGCAGCAACAGAATAAAAAGTTTATCATGACTGTTCGATCTTACCAGTATGAAAACCCACTTCTCTATTTTAAGGCACAGGAATACTAAAAGTACAATGTGGCAGATTTTTTGTTTGTTTGTTTTCCAAGTCTTAAATTACCATGGAAAAGATAAAGGTCAAATTCTGGATTGATTCAAAGAGACTTAAAGATTTTATCAACCAGTTGCGATGTTTCTACATTGTTTAGCTGTTGATCTGAGTAAGGAATTCAAAAAAGAAAAGTAAAATAATGAAAGAGGAGGGAGGAACTGGCCTCCGATTAGTTATTTACTGATATTAATAAATTTATTTAATATTTGTAAGGCAATTTGATTATTTAAGAATAGTAACTCAGATATACTTTGAAGAATAATGAAAAAATTCTAGAGGATCCGGCAGACCCAGCAGAGGGACTGGTGCTAAAGAAGGAAGTGGTGCTGTTGATAATGGCATCTCAGTGAGAGTTCATAGGGCTTCATTGGACTGCATTTCCACCATGATTTCTAGATGCACTTAAAAGTAGGTGAATGTAGCAACAGCAGAAGCTTAATATGTTTCTGGAGGTGTCTATTAAAAGAATCACCTGTCCAACTACATGTTTTATTAAAAATATATGTAATTTTATTTTTTTAATTTTTTTAGATGATTTTGTGTGTGTCTGCATGTCTGTCTGTATGTATACCATGTATGTGTCTGGTGCTCAGGGAGGTCAGAAGAGGGCACAGGATCCCCCAGAGTTATGGATATAACTGTTATGGATATAGCTGTTAGTAAACATGTGGTTGCTGGGAATCAAGCCTGGGTCCTCTAAAACAACAAATGTTCTTAACTGATGTGCCATCTCTCCAGCCCCACAATTTCTATTTTTATAATTATATACATTCCGTGAAGTTTATTGCCTACTGCAATACATGCTCAGTCAGGATGAGAAAGTCCTAGATACTTAAATTCCATTATATCCATTGATTTTGTAATAGTCAAAAAGAAATTTTTTTTTCTTTTTTTTTTTTTTTTTTTTTTTTTTTTTTTTGGTGTGTTTTTCAGACAGGGTTTTTCTGTAGCTATGGAACCTCTCCTGGAACTAGCTGTTGTAGACCAGAATGGCCTTGAATTCACAGAGATCCACCTGCCTCTGCCTTCCAAGTGCTGGGATTAAAGGCATGCACCATCACCGCCCGGCATTTCATTTCTTTATGATGGTTTTGCCAAGATCCTCTTAAGAGTCCGAACTGATTCTTCAGAAACTTAAAGGTGTTTTTCAGACCAAAGGGGAGAAGAAACAAAACCAGATTTGGGCAGTGGGTGTAGCTCGGCCACAGACTACTTGCTGGTCATGTTAACCACCTTGACTTTGATCCTTAGTACCACAAAGGCAAACAAGCAAACAGTCCCACAGAGTGTAAGTGGAGAGGACAGAGGAGCTAAAGAAATAAACAGCTTCTGAGTCATGGGGAGCATCTCACTGCTCAACAAAAATGGGCATTGTATTCATGTGTGCGGAGGGAGGAGAGGACATGCAGGGAGAGGGAAAATGGAAATATGAATGACTGCATGACTGAATCTCAATGCGCTTTTCCCAAATTAATTCTATGTGTAGCTAATTTATGTATATTTGATGTAGATTTGGTTACTGACACAGAAAGTTTAATATAAGATGCATATACCAATTTTTTTAATTTTTATTTATTTATTTATTTTTATTTTTTCTATATCAATTTTTTAAATAAAAATTACATTTTAGTCAGATGTGTTAGTACCTGATTTTAATCCCAGTACTCAGGAAGCAGAGACAGGCTTCAGTGTAAGTTCAAGGGTAGCCTCATATACACAGTGAGACCCTGCCTCAAAAATAAAACAAATAAAAATTACACTTATTTATTTTGTGTGTGGGATGGTATGCATGTAAAGATCAGAGGACCACTTTTGGGAGCCACTTCTCTCCCTCCTCCCTGTAGGCCCTGGGGATCTAACTTAGGTCATTAAGATTTGAAGGCTTTACCTACTGAGCCATTTTGCCAGCCCTATACTAAATTTTTAAATAGTTTAGATATTGAGGTGCTTGTTATATAACTTCCTAAAGACATTTAGATTCCTTTATCAGATGTGTTGTTTAAGATAATATTTTGTAGGAGGTAATAGCTGATTTTAGTTTGTCTGGAAAAACCTAGAATAAATAGGACACACTGTTCACCATTTGATCTGGTTTACATTCCATATTGACTTTTTTTTTTTTTTTTTGCTGCTTTGTTTGAGATGGACCCTCAAAACAATATAAAAGAAGTTGTTAGGCTTTCTATAGTATAAAGCAAAATGCCTCCAATTTGAGTCACTGCTGTGCTTCAAGGAGGTGACACCCTTATTATCTTGCTGGAGACTCTTCCAGCTGGGTTGACCTTTGAAAGAGATTTAAATGCTTAATATAGGATCAGGTCTTTCTCTGTAATTGGATTTTATTTCATAAGAGTAAATATGTTGATTCCTTAAATGGAAAAGATGTATGATTCTAAGGTGTGGACACTAAACCTTTTATTTAGAAGTGTGCACACACATGTGGAGGTCAGAAGGTAACCTGCAGAAGTCTGCTCTCCATTATGTGGATCCCAAGAATTGAACACAGACTGTCAGGAGTTGGCGGCAGGCACCTTCACCTACTGAGCCATCTGAAGGGTTTTTTTTTTCTTTTAATAAAAATATAAAGAAATTGACATGTGTAATGAAAATTTGGAAGTTAATTGGTGTGTACTTAAAGACAAAACCATACCACCACTTCCTCTCATGCATATACAAGTCTTTTAACCTAGCTGGGATGCTCACAGAAACAGTCGAGGAACTCCTTGTGAATGGAGTGGCCAGCCTCTTCCACCTCTGCCTTTTCTAGTACTCCTTATGGGAGAAAAGAGGACCATCCTTGCTGGATTGCACTTGTAAAGAGCTCACCACAGTGAGAGCTCTTACCAGTTACCTCTCTTCTGAGGAAGGGTGTCTTTTCTGAATTTCTGAAGGAAGTCTAAAGTAGGAGTGAACAGCCTTGCTGTATTGCCAGGTTGTACTTGAACTCTTAGGCTCAAGTTAGTTAGGTAGCCTTTCAGTAGCTAGAACTGCCTGTATGTACCGCTACTATGTCCAGCCGCAGCTGTTTTTAATTGCCTAGTGTAAATGAAGGAGAAAGCCACATCTGGTACACTTACTGTATTACAGGGAAAGCTTTGAATATGTATTTAAATTCAAAATGCATGAGCTCATGTTTAAATAGTGAATAAGCCTAGTCACTAATGCATACCCCAGCAGGCACAAATATTTAGAATTAAGTGTTACTTTATATTCTGTTCAATTATTTCAACTTTCTAATTTATTGAGTAGTCATGAAAGGAATATTGCTTTTGGCTGTATGTTAATCATAGTTAATATGTAGAGTGGTTTAATGTTTGTTTTAATACAGTGTTCTAGGCACAAGTAAACTCTCTACCCTTCAGATTCTTCTTCCCCCCAGTCTTATAAGAGAAGGGACCAAAGTCAATATTTATTAGACTACTATTAGATATTATAGGTAGAGCCAACTAGAGGAGTGGTTCTCAATATATCAGATATCCTGCATATCATATATTTATGTTACAATTAATAACAGTAGCAAAATTATAGTTATGAAATAGCAACAAAATAATTTTTTGTTTGAAGTCACTATAACATGTGGACCTTTATTAAAGGTCGCAGCATTAGATTGAGGACCACTGACTAGAGAGTAATTGCTATCCTTGAACAGTGAGGACGACAACTCCAAAGGAAGGCTGGAACAGTGGGTTTGTCTTTGGAGGCTGACCAGGTGTTTGCTAGGCAAGGAAAACAGGAGCCTTTGTGAGTAAGGAACAGCATGTGCAGAGTCTGAAAGATTGACGACTGTTTAAGGCACTTTATTTTCAGGGAGAAAGATGAGGTGAAGAAAGGGTTTCACCACTGTGAAATCTAGACTGACCTTGAATTTGCAGCAGTCCTCCCACCTCAGCTTCCTGAGTGCTGGGATTATAGGTATAAGCCACCATACCTGGATTTGTTAAGTAAAATACTTTGAAGTTACATGATCTTTTGGGCTGAGGAGTTAGCTTAGCCAGTAAAGAATCTGCTGTATAAGCAAAAGGATCTGAGTTCAGTCCCCAATAATTATATGAAAAGGTAGGCATGATGGTATTCACTTATAATCCCAACACTGGGATAGCAAGAGCCTTACTTGCAGACCCCAAGTCTTAGTGAGAGACCTTGTCTCAGAAAACAAGTGGACAGCGCCTGGGGAACAACACCTGGGATTGACATTGACCTCTGGACTCCTTGTGAACCCTCATACAGGAGCACACATACTAGTTAAAAATTGTTTTAGTTACTTGGGAACCAGGCAGTGGTGGCACATGCCTTAATCCCAGCACTAGGGAGTCAGAGGCAGGGATCTCCGAGTTCAAGGCCAGCCTGGTCTACAGAGCA